AACTTAACACAAACCCTAACCCTAAACTCAATTCTCATCCTGACACTAACCCAAACCCGCAGGAAGGATGTCCCACAAAAGTGTGTCAGAGTAATTCATCAAGGCTGACGTTGCTACAATTGCTTACCGTCAGGGCGAACGGAAGGCATCTTATAAGATCATCAGAGTATCATTCAAATGCCCCTACTGAATCACAAGTTCCGGGGGACCCAGTAGAAAACTGGCCAGCATGACAGCCTGCGAACGCACATTCAAGGCTCGCATTGGCCTTGTGGGACACACTCTCGTTTACGTTGCAGCATTATCAAAAAAACGCGGCACCAGCAGCATCAGCACTATATCGAGTAATAATCCAAACGGTAACCTACCACCCCAAGTCTTACCACACTTTGATTGCACATGCCCGGTCAGAGTCGATGTGGTTGGCCATTGCCACAGGTCACATTTGCTATCTTATCCCTGAGATGAGCGCGGTTCCAAGATGGGTTCCAGCGGATGATGGAGGGATTGATGCGACAGTGTTTAGAACTCGAACGCAGGGACGGCGTTCTGAACGCCTCATCCCCCTGATTCGATGTCAGTTAAATCTGCGTTAATGGATCGAAGAAACCCGGTAGACATCTAGCTACATCACCTATCCACAAATACTACCGGTCGGATGTGGTTATGTAGCCGTACCTGATGTAAACAAACCCCAGCCGCCTGTAATACGGGGCCGGTGGTAAATAGGGGCAGTGGTAGGGTGAATGACCCCAGTTAACCGTCGGTGGACTGTGAATCGTGATAATTGGGGGAGGGAGGGTTTACGGGTGGGGTAGCACGTTAGACAGTAAGCTGACAGAATGCAGGCGAACACATAAGGCGCTCGCTGACAAAACGATAAAATGATGAACTCATACAGATTCGGTGTTCAGCTGGATATTCCATGGGGTCCCAACTTGAAGTGGTGCCTGACTATCGAAGAGCTGGAAAGCATATCTGTTATCCCTCAGTTCACGCTAGACTGATCATCGTCTTTTGTTTCCCCTCTTTTGGGTGCAGTTGCCAGTCATTAGTAGTTGACTAGATTACGCCAGTACACTGAGTGACCTATCTCATGAAATGTTGGCTGAAATTCTGAAATGCGTTTTCGTTTAGGATGGATTACTTGGTCGCGGTTCTAATACTGATTATCGTAAGACATGCTCTTATAACATTTCGAACTCGGCAGGATGTCGGCTTTCAAATGCACTCTTTGTCAATCTCCTGAATTAAGCGTGCTCGGTAAAAAGGGACTACTTAAGTAGCATACATTTTTCCCACTGATTTTCGATGGTCTTGGAAATTCAAATATATTTTATAGAAACCATGAACAAAAATATGCTTTCTTTTAGTCGATCAATAGAAAATCGCGTCTTCTTTATATTTTATACCTAAGAAAGGAGTATAAATAGGTTTTAAAAAAGTTTCTAATCATGAGACTTTTTAAGACCGCGAAATGTCCATTCACGTAGCATCGTACCTGGCCGTTTACCACTGCTCCTCACGAAATGTGCAAGATGGTCCGCATTCATTGCGAAATTTTATGGACTCTGTATGATATCTCTTTAATGGCACAGAAAAATATATGATTTTCTTTACGCGGAACGCAGGCACCTTGAAGAATGAAGTCACTAAGTGCTAATACAACGAATGATCAGGCTCCAAATTATTCGGCAATTAGAAAACTTTTCTAAAACCTAATTATGCTCCTTTCTTAAGTATGAAATATAAAAAAACGCGATTTTCTATTGATCGAATAAAAGAAAGCATATTTTTGTTCATGGTTTCTATAAAATATATTTGAATTTCCAAGACCATCGAAAATCATTGGGAAAAATGCATGCTACTTAAGTAGTCATTTTTGCCGAGCACGCTTACTTCAGGAGATTGAAAAGAAGTGCATTTAAAAGCCGACATCCTGCCGAGTCCAAAATGTTATAAGAGTATGTCCTATGATAATCAGTATTAGAACCGCGACCAAGTAATCCATCCTAATGGAAAACGCATTTCAGAATTTCAGCCAACATTTCATGAGTTAGGTCACTCACTGTACATACATCAGCATACGACGATTAACTGGGGTCCTTCTTCCTACCATTGCCAAAATAAGGTAAAAGACGGAGTTTTCATACCCAAGTTATACGACGTCGTTAGAGGTGTGTTGTCGATTGTTAATGACTTGTAGAAGACCAACCGGGTCCCTTCAAACAGCCAACCTACCCAAGAAAAGGGAAGAAGTATCAACCACTCCCCAAGTTAAATGATGAGACAGTGGGTTTCCTTCACTTCTGACAGCACACATTGTCCTTGACATGCCTTAAGGAGGGTGGTACTCAGACGAGGCCAGTGTGATCGTTAACAAGGCACTCAAGCGAATACCTTTCACTCAGAATTGCTCCCAGAAGGGAATTATAGGAAGACTACTCCTGAAATCTGCCAAAACACCTCTGAGTTATTAAATGAGTCATGGCCTTTAATTAAAAGAAAACATTGTCGGATGTGGTTATGTAGCCGCACCTGAGGTAAGCAAACCCCAGCCACCTGTACTACGGGACCGGTGGTAATAGGAGTTTTTACAGGTGGGGCCGGCAAACGCACAGGCGGCGAGGTCGCGTAATTGTACGCAAAAGAAAAGCTATTGGTAGTGCGCGGTCGTACTTTCAGTGGTTGAGAGATAGTTGCACTAACCCCTGACCCCAACCCCCTAACCACTAACACTTAATCGCAGTCCTAAGCCCTAACTTTGAAAGAGGCAAAGCGAAAGTTAGAAGGAGACGACAGGCCAAAGGTAAAGACGGACCATTGGCATTGGGCCAAAAAGGTAGACACGACAACAAAGAAACAAGGCCGCCAACAGAACACACACCGCAACGCACAGCAACACTATACCAGCGTAATCACACCAACTAATTAAGTACGCCAACAGTCTTCTGTCCATCAGATGCGGCTAAATAACCACATCTTACCGAAAACACTGGAAACTTCAGTTTCTGTAATTCCTGAGTTGTATACTGAAACGTAGCATCGCCTACACGTTTTGTAAAGGAACGAGGAAATTTTGCGCAGCAGTAATACCAGAAGTAGAATACAGCTCTAATGTGACGTTAGTATGCAGGATTCGTCAGAATGCGCAGTAATTCTCGACGGAAACAAGGACACTGTAGGTATTTCTAAACTAGCTCGTTATTATACAAGGAATTTAGACCTGGGTTTCCAGCCTCCGATCAAGAGTGCCAGTAAATGCAGGCAAATATGCGCGTCCTAGGTTCATGTCGACAAGAGGACGAAGACGCCATCACTGAGACGGCAGGTTCAGTAGTCTGGGCTTCTGAACCCGCACAGAAGTGCGGCATCGGAGGCTGCGTGAGTGCAGCCAAGAGTGAACACTTTCTGTAGTCGAGCGCCGGGCGGTGGGGGTGGGGTGGAGGGGGGGGAGGGGTAGGGTCCGTGACCGTGTCGCCCGCTCATAGTAGTCTCGCCGCGTGGTGACGGCGTGCGTGTTTGGCTGCGTGGGCGTAGGGCGTGACAGCAAATCAATGTGTCTGTTGATGGAGGTGGTGTCCGACACCTCCAACGACTCCTGCCCCGTCTTGCTGTCGGCTCGCGCCAGTCTCTGCGTGCTCGCAAAGTCTAACTCATGGTCGTCATCCAGCGTGTGAACCAATGGGTCCTCTCTACGTGCCCTCCAAACGGGCCACGTGTTAGATGTGCTGGACCAACACGGGGGCCACATCGGACTCTGGCAGGCGTTATCTGTGCGCAATAACAAATGCCAACATTCCCGGGGTGCGCTGGCGGACCCTGTTGTCGGCATTCGTCGCACAACTGGACCACTGCCACCACCCCATTGCTCTGTGGTAAAAATCCTGGTCATTTGTGTGTGGACCAGGGGGTGCGGAGTGGAGCGCCAAGGCGAGGATCCGTCCGAGCCATCCACCTGCGGCCTCCCCCGTCTCCGGTCTTCTTGACTCTGTCTTGACACCGGGCTCAGGCGGGGGAGGAGGAGAGAGAGTGGATAGATGCTACGCAAGTCTACTGGCACTATAAACCCCTGCGCAAGTCACCGTCCCTGCTCCACAATGCAGTCTGTGGGGCATACGGTGGACATCATCGAAATCGATGGTCGAACTGTCGGGTCCTCTCTATGAAAGGCGCTTTTGTGTTCCAGTATTGACGAGCCAAGGCGTCGTCCTATCTGGCCTGTATAATGGCAAAGACAGTACCGGCACAGAATTTGGTAAACTAAGCCCGATTGCTCACCTGCGTCCTTTATGTGCATGAGCCTAGTGCGTATGGTAGCCACCGGAGACTGGATGATGCCCACGCCCACGGAATGCGTGGACACATTCTTTAGGCACGGCAGCGAGTACCAAATTGGTGGCTTCTCGCTCCCGTGCCTCCGTAGAGGGCTCGTACGCATGCAGCGACTGATGAGGTTCTTTGGGTAGGCGTTCCTTGTCAGCTGGCCCCTGAGATACCGAAGTGCTTGTACTCTTCCCCCGGGTTCGCTACAATACGATTTTACCCTTTCGAAGAGCGCATCGTAGAAGCCCTGGCCGAGAGTGAGACCATGGCTACCACAACCTTTTAGGCTCCGTCCGGAATTGAAGAAGATGGACGTCAGTTGGGAAGATTGTATATTCTGTACAGAACAACTGTAGTGAAGATTCGAGGGAGTTGGTAGCCAGAGGAAGGTGCCTCCGGCGTCGCTAGAACGGCGTCCCACCAAAGCGCCTTAAGACAGAGCACGTCTGAACTCGGCCTTGAATCTGATTGGGAAGCCCAGTGGGCGAATGCCAGACATCTATGGTGAACAGGTGCAGACACTCATGAGAGGCCCAGCTTTGCGTCTGACGCCCCGAGTAGGGTCAGTACAACCCTGCTGATGCCAATGGATTTCAGTATTAATATTCCTAAGGGCACGGGAAAAGGAGCTGTCTGTCATACAGGTGGGATTAACGTTAGGGTAGGAGACAGTGTCAGGGTTTGGAGGAGGCGAAGAGATCCATGCTCCTCTGCATGTCCCCTTCTGAGGTGGTGTTGTGGGCACAGTCGTCGGCGAAGAGAAGTTCATGAACGGCAGTTGTGGACACACGCGACTGGAAGTGCATCCGTCGGTGGTTGAGGAGTTGGCGGTCCGTCCTGTAGGTGATGCGGATCCCGGAGCGTTCATCACGGTAGGCGTCCATCAGCATGACAGAGAACATGAGACTGAAGAGGGTAGGCGCCAGGGCGCAGCCCTGCTTCACTCCATTGGCCACTGCGAATGTCTCTGAGACAGCTTCGTTGTCCGTGACTCGCTCCATCATGCCGACGTGGAGCTGACAGACCATCTGAGGGAAATATTCGGGACAGCCGAATTTCTACATGATCCTAGACAGTCCTTCACGATTTACCGTATCGATGGCTTTCGCCAAATCCACGAAGGTAGAATAGAGGTGGGTCGCATCTCCTGACACTTCTCCTGCAGTTGGCGGGCGGCGAGGATCATGTTTGTGGTCCCACGATGACGGCAGAAGCCGCATTGGCTTTCCAGCAGGAGGCGGTTGTTCAGACCGTTGAGGAGAATGCAAGCAAAGATTTTCCCGATGATGTTCAGCGAGGCGACGCTTTGATGATTGTCGCAGATTTGGCGGTTTCGTTTCCGTTTGTACAGATACACGACTGTGGCATCCATGAAATCCTGAGGGACTTCTCCTGGAAGAGCGCAGTCAGCTGATCCATTAGTTGAGGACCATCGTGCTTGTAGATCTCAGCAGGCATCGCGTCCGAGCCGGACGCTTTCCCGCTGGAGAGCTGCTGCATGGCCCTGATGGTTTCCTGGAGAGAGGGTGGGAGGTCGAGATCGACGCTGGTTTCTACTTACGACAGACGGGCATTGGCGGCATCGGAGATGGTGGAGGGGCGGTTGAGGACGCCTCGGAAATGCTCGGCCCATCGCTGTAGAATGTGTGCCTTTTCGGTGAGTAGAGTGCTTCCGTCGGAGCTGAGGTGGGGTGGAGTGCCTTTGGTTGGCGGACCGTATACAGTTTGGATCGCGGAGAAGAAGTTATTCCACTTGTTGCGGTCCGCGTACCCTTGGATCTCCTCTGCCTTGCGAGCAGTCCAAGGGCTCCGCATCTCGCGGGACCGCTGTTTAACAAGGCGGCTACTACGGTCGAAAGCAAATCTGTTGTCATTGGTGGGGCGGTCGACGTAGGCTTTGTGTAGGTGGTTACTCTCGGCGAGTAGGTTTCTGATGGCAGCGCCGCCGTCGTCGAACCAGTCCTGGTGTTGGCGGCGTGCACGACCGAGGACGGCTAGCGCCGTCGACTGGATCGTGTCCCGCAGTTGACACCACCGGTTCTCCAGGGAGGCGTTCTTGTCGGCGTCGGCGACGACATCAGCGACTGGTAGGTTGTCTAGCCGTTGAGCTAGCACGCTGCTGAAATGGAGATGCTGAGCAGGCAAAGACAACAAGGCAATATTCAGCTTACCTGGAGGTCACTGAACTTGTGGCCTCCTGTGAGGCTTTAGACGTATCCGCATCTTGGAGAGGACGAGATGATGGTCGGTCCAGCCGTCGGCACCCGGAATCACCTTTGTCACCAGCACGTCCCGCTGGTCTAGACTCCGGATGAGTAATTAGTCCAGCGGGTGTAGCCGATACCCACCTCCTCCATTGGACCTTGTCGGGAGAACCGGGTCTCGCTGAGTGCGACGATGTCCATCTCGTAGCGCGCCAGTTCCCGATACACTATCGCCGTCCTCCGTTCCGGTCGATTGCTCCTTGGATTATCTAAAAGGGAACTAGCATTTCAGGCGGGCAGAGTGAGCGGACTCACCCTACCAGTCTGGCGATTGGGGTGGCGGGTAGGCGTAGGAGGAGGAGGAAAAGGGAAAAAACGTTGTTCCCTGTTGGCTGTTTTGACCTTGAGTTTAACGTCTGCGACCACGGTCAGCCTGCAGACGGCGTGGTTCCCCAGCATTAGTTTAGGTCACATTTTCCAGCCCCTTCCCCCTGTAGGGGTGAGCAATGCCACCCTAAATAGAACTGCTCAGTTGGTTCAGGCGCTTCCAAACTCCAATATATGTTACGGCCCGAGTTAGCCTGGGACAGCCTACGACATCGCCATAAGCTTGTGACCTCCCGCGGTGGTCCAGACTGAGCCTCGTCTCGACGATGCCGACACGAAGATTCATCTGGCCAGCGGGGTCCACATTACCGTGTCAGCAGGCGTACGCACGGATACCCTCACCTGATTTAGCCCGCCGGTGGAGTCGGTTACCGGGCTGTGGTCGATAGGCAGAGCCTAGCTTCGGCCAGCCATATGTGAGAGTTCGGTTCCACCAAGTGGACGCTAGGCGTAGTCTACACCTGCAAGCAAGTGGGCGACCTACTACGTGAACCCACCGCTGGAAACCCCCTACATCCCAGTCAAACCTACGAGAGCAGGCATGGAAGGCATCGAAATTCATCAAGGAAATATTTTATTTTTCCTAAAGTAGGAAAATAAAGGTGTGAGTATAAAGATGGCACAGTGATCACCACTGTCCCGAATTGAGCACAGTCGGGACGAATTTCTCTAACTCAATAAATGTAGTGATAAAAACCCACGTGAATTTCGGCATAACTATATTATACTTGGGAAAGACGCATAATTCATATAACTACGTCTACAACTCACGTTCAAATTCTACCAATGGCTTTACAAAATTACAGTTATGGAGCATTAACATGCCCGAGGTGGTCAGTCAGGATGAATTCACATTTCTGTATATCTCAAAGTCACCGGTATCTACAACACATTATGAAGATTATATACCGACGCCTTGTGAGAGAGCCATCAAGATCAGATTAAGGAGGAATTATTGCAGACCGATCCTCTCTTCGCAGGAGGGCAGAGCGATGTCGACAGTTGACAACACGCAAACTCATCAAGTCAGCAAAATCACAAAACTTGCTACTCAGAACACCCCAGAGAGTTTGGAAGAAAATAAAAACTTATTCGATTACTGATGCATCAGATGCGCCCAATTAGAGTGTAATATGACAACTGCCAGGTCCAAAGGCATGATTAGATGACAGATATTGACTGAAAATTTGAGACAAATGCATCCGGCAAATTTAAGCATGACTGTCCGCTAACAATCTGTTGGAACTCCTGTGATATTGTTCTACCTACCGACAAAATCAAAATTCTAATGACTGAAGTCACCAATACTTTCAATGGTTCGTCCTACTCCTGACTAAATTCCCACTTCACAGGACTCCCACTGAACGCCTGGCCAGAGATTACTGTAGTCATGGAGGGCACGGCTTGTCCCGTCTTGTTTAACCCCACACCAAGTGGCCGTTTGCATCCATTCCCAAAGTTGGCTCCCTTAGCTGTATAGAAGAAGCATCAAGAGAGAGTCTAGCAAATGAAAATAAGAATGCCCAATTACTGACCAATCGCTGAGAAAAGAAGCATATCATGAATTTGATCTGTTAAAGTTGAGGAGTGAAGCTTGTTCAAGGATCCATCTTCATGAAATAAATAAAAAACAGCAACACAAACAGTTTAAGGGGTGAACTAAAAAGTCAGCTTCACCTTGTGTTATTGCAAACAATTTCGTTGATTGTCGTGGCAACCTCCCATCCTGTGGCTGCATCGTTTTCTGCAGATTGAAATCATAAAATAATCACTATCCACAAAATTTAAGTAGCGTTGATTTTAAAGGCATGATCTGATTTCACTCCAGAGGCAAGATATGTCGTGTGGACGGGCGTCCCTCTAAAGATCATACAAATTGAATTACTGGCATAGTCACCGAGCGATGAGCATCAGGCACACCAATGGTACCACAAGGAGGATATTTTCAGTGCTTAATCCATTCGTAACGCGGAGGATTTACAAATGCACGGTGGTCACCAGTCAGAATGCGACGTCGATGTTTAACCCAAGAGGTAGACTCAGAGAGTCCGTTAAAAAAATCTAGTTTGAGCATACAGATGGTGACTTAAGTTAATGGGGCTGGTTGCTTGTCACCTAAATGTGTCACCGGGGACAACGTAGGCAATATCGAGCATCGGAGCCAATCGACAAGCAAGTGCAATTGCATACGGCTGCTTGCGTCCATCGCGACGCCGGCGGAGCCCATCTGCCAACTAATCGAGTAACAAGCTCGTTGAAACATCATTACCCCTAGCAAATACCCTAACTCGCAGCGACCTCGCTTGCTGTTAAGGTTGACATGCGCGTGGAGCGAGATAAGCAGTGCCAAAACGAGGAGGGCGACACAAAAATCTGCTCGGATTTCCCGCCTACGCGTCCTAACTTCCCCAGCATACTTCAGTATTCAAATATTAAGCGTGTTTTGTTAATCTTGTGTCGTTGCATGGTGCAGCCATGGAGAGGTGTGTTCATCAGTAGGCTTTCCCCCAGCGTCCTCCATGTGCTTTCTGTTGTGTAAGCTTCAGTTTCGATAATGCATTGATACTATGTAAAACAACTCAGTATTTGTATACTACTGACTGAGTGTTGGCAGCTCGTTAATACTGCGCGGTTATTCCGCTGTAGCTGAAGGATTTCGTCCGCAACATTCATATATAAATGTCCTAACCAAGAATAAAAAGCTCTAATCCGAAGGATTGACCTCATGTTCGCGCAATGATTTCCATGGTAGTTAAAAAAGGCAACACATATAAGTATTTATTGGCAACATCGAGAGTCTGTTTTGAGCAGGCGGTGTGAGTGTGTGTTCTGTGAGCCACAATTATCAAGTCAAATCTCAGGTTGGAAGGAGAAGACAGATGACACCATAATGAGGGGTTTCATGCATACAAATGCCGGAGTTGTACTCCGGCGAAGCTAGGGCTGATGTTGACTGCGTCCAGTCATGCCTGAGAGTCCCTGAGACAGTGGTGGCAGCCGCTTTTGTAGGCTCGTGGGCCAAGCTCAA